GGTGGGATCGGGGAGATCCCGGAATGTGGGGAGGGAAAGGGGAAAAAAAGGGGAAAAGGGGGAAGGAAAAAAAGAAAAAGGAAAGGGAAACGTGAAACAGAAAAGGGGGAAGAGGGAAAAGGAAAAAAGGAACAGGGAAAGTGGAATGGGAAAAGGGGGGGAAAAGGGGGGGAAAGTCCCCACCGTGTCCGGAGCAATGCCCATGTCCTTGTCACTTCCAGAGTGACATCTCTGTGTCTTTGTCACCTCCGGACCAAAACCTCTGTCCCCAACACCTCCTTAGGGACACCTCCATGTCCCTGTCACCTCCAGAGCCACCTCAGTGTCCCCAACACCTCCCGAGTGACACCTCCGTGTCCCTGTCACCTTGACAGCAACACCCGCATGCCCTTGTCACCTCCACAGTGACACCTCCATGGTGACATCTGTCTCCTTGTCACCTCCACAGACATCTCCAAGTCCTTGTCACCTCCATGGTGACACCTCCATGGCCCTGTCACCTCTACAGTGACACCTCCATGTCCCTGTCACCTCCAAAGCAACATCTGTGTCCCTGTCACCTCCAGAGTGACACTTCTGTGTCTCTGTCACCTCCATGTCCTTGTCACCTCCAGAGTGACATCTCTGTGTCCCTGTCACCTCCAGAGTGACACTTCTGTGTCTCTGTCACCTCCATGTCCTTGTCACCTCCAGAGTGACATCTCTGTCTCCCTGTCACCTCCACAGACACCTCAGTGTCCCTGTCACCTCCAGAGTGACACCTGCACGTCCTTGTCACCTCCACAGACACCTCCACGTCCCTGTTCCCTCCAGAGTGACATATGTCTCCCTGTCACCTCCACAGTGACACTTCTGTCTCCTTGTCACCTCCATGTCCCTGTCCCCTCCAGAGTGACATATGTCTCCCTGTCACCTCCACAGACACCTCCGTGTCACCTCCAAAGCAACATCTCCATGTCCTTGTCACCTCCAGAATGACACCTGCACGTCCTTGTCACCTCCCCAGTGACACCCCCACATCTCCACAGTGACACTCACATCCATGGGAACACCTCCGTGTCTTTGTCACCTTCATGGCGACACCACCTTGTCCCTGTCACCTCCACAGTGACACCTCCACGTCCTTGCCACCTTCATGTCCTTGTCACCTCCAGAGCAACATCTCTGATTCCTTGTCACCTCCCCAGTGACACCTCCCCATCCCTGTCACCTCCAGAGTGACATCTGTCTCCTTGTCACCTTCACAGACACCTCTGTGTCCTTGTCACCTCCCCAGTGACACCTCCACGTCCCTGTCACCTCCCTGGGGTCACCCCCCTGTCCTTGTCACCTCCAGAGTGACACCTCCCTGTCCTTGTCACCTCCACAGCGACCCCTCCCACCCCCACCTGGATTTAGACCAATTTCCATTTTTAGCGCAGAAAAAAGAAAAAAAACCCAAACCAAATCCCAACCCGGCTTTTAAAACGTCACTGCAGCCGAAGCACAAACAGCTCCAATCCCCCCTTCCCCCCAAAAAAACCCCAAAAACTGGATGAGGGTCTTGGATGATCCAAAGCGATCCCAAACCCTGCCCTTCCCGAGGATTTGGGGTTTCAGGGATTGCCCCGGCTCGGATTTCCCAGCCCTGGGCCGAGGGCGGGCGCGCTGGGCTCGCGTCACCCGCCGGGAGCAAAGGTGTGCCCGAGCCTCTGGAATGTGGAATTCTGCATCCGGCTGCCGCTGGATCCCAGCCCGGGGCAGCTCCGGTTAACGATTAAACCTCCGGGAGCCACCCCAAGAGGAGGCCACGGAGCCGGGAATGCGCAGCCGGAGCAGGGAAGGATCCAGGGAATCCTCGGAGACGCTTCCCGAGCCTCAAAGGGGCTCCGGGAGAGATTTGGGAACGGCTTCCCACTGGGAATGGGGAGCTTGGGAAGGGATTCCCAGAGGATCCCTGGATCCCTGGCGGTGTCCAAGGGTGGATTTGGATCACCCTGGGATCATGGGAAGTGTCCCTGGGGTGGGATTGAAGGTCCATGGATCCCATCCCAAACCATTCCGGGATTCTGGGATCCAGGACACTCAGGATCCATCCCTGAGGGATTTTTATGGAATTCAAGGATGGAAAAGGGAAGGGAGACCCTTCCTGGAGTCCCGAATTCCCAAAATTCCTTCTCGGAGAGGAATCGGGATGGGAATGGATCCAATGTCAGAGCTGGGAATGTGCAGCTGGATGAGTGAAGGATGCAGGGAATGCTGGGAGCCTTTTCCAGAGGTTTCCAGGAGAGCTGGGATTTGGGAAAGGGCTGGAGGGCCAGGAGCCAGGGAATGGCTTCCAGTGGGAAAGGGGAGCT